CATATCTGATGGTGCGGCCCATGTCTTGTCTTATAGATACCGGGGGTCATATCTTCACAGTTTGTCCTCGAGCGCCTTGTATCCTTGGAGCAACACTGTCTTGAACAAGTTCGAGCAGTTTAACGTGAAGCCGATCAGTTTAACCGGTGATCCGAGCGGTGGAAGTCAAAGTCGGCCAGTTTAACTAGTGAACTGAGCGGTGAGAGTCGTAGCCGACCAGTGTAACCGGTGACTTGAGCGGTGAGCGTCGAAGCCGACCTGTTAAACTGGTGATCTGGGCGGTGAAAATCGAAGCCGACCAGTTAAACTGGTGACCTGGGCGGTGAAAGTCGTAGCCGACCAGTGTAACCGGTGACTTGAGCGGTGAAAGTAGGAGCTGACCAGTTAAACTGGTGACCTGAGTGGTGAAAGTAGGAGCCGACCAATTTAACAATTTAATCGATCTCGGACTTAGCCAAGTAAGGCTTGCTAGAAGGATGTAAGGGGCTCAAGATTGGAAAAATCTCCAGGCGAAGTGTAGCCACTTAGACTCCGTTTGCGAGGAACTATCTATGACTTAGTCAATAAGAAGGGTAAATCAAGAAAAGAGCACCACATTCACCGCTTGGTAAAGTGTAGCCACATAGTCCCCGAGCCTGCTAGAAGATAAAGAAATAAATCTTGTAGCAGGGTCAAAGAAAATAAGCCTGTAAGCTTGCCAATGTCATCTGTCATGTGTGTATCAAGACCTCAGACGTGCTGCTAAAGATCAGCACCCTGATCCGAATAGCATGGAGTAACTTGACAGCACACCGATAAGACGTAGCAAAATCCGACCACCAAGGGAGTCCCCAGCTTAGCGGGTGACGCTTGCACGAAGAAACCGAACACCGAGAAGTCCCTAGCTTAGCTGACGAGCCCCCAGCATGGCTGAGGACGAAGCGACGAACAATCCAAATGCCGAGGAGTCCCCAGCTTAGCTGGCGAGCCCCTAGCGTAGCTGATGATGAAGCGACGGACAATCCGACCAGTTGGTTGGTGAAGAATCGAGCGTCGAGTAGCACAACCAACTGGTCGGCGGTGAAGTCTGACGATGAAGCAATGAACAATCCAAATGCCGAGGAGTCTCCAGCTTAGCTGGTGAGCCCCTAGCGTAGCTAACGATGAAGCGACGGACAATCCGACCAGTTGGTTGGCGAAGAATCGAGCGCCGAGCATCCCAACCAACTGGTCGGCAGCGAAGTATAATGATAAAGCGATGAACAATCCAAACACCGAGGAGTCCCTAGCTTAGCTAACGAGCCCCTAGCGTAGCTGTCGATGAAGCGACGGATAATCCAACCAGTTGGTTGGCGAAGAATCGAGCATCGAGCAGCCCAACCAACTAGTCGGCGGTGAAGTGAGCGTCGAGCAGAAGTGACCGCCGAGCACTCCGACCAACTGGTCGACGACGAAGTCTATGAACCTAGCGGTCCGACCAGTTAATCGGCGAAGAAGTCCGAGTACCAAGTGGTCCGACCACCAGTACGATGATCCTGCACTAAATATGTAGAATGGGTAGTACATGATGTAAAAATATATGAACTCGGTGATGAAGATAGCAGAGCAAAATAGATAGACATTATGTTTGTATGAAGTGTTCATATTTTAAATATGAGTAACTTCTTGCCAGTTGGTTCTGTATCGTATCACTAGCCCCAACTAGCCCAAACTCTATAGCATGGAGTGGCTAGCACCGTGTACGCGTAAGAGCACAGGCGTTGCCGAGGAGCCACTGCCAACCACCCATAACGCAGAGGGCTGACGCTCATGCACGTGTAGGAGTGAGATCGAGAACGGAGCTGTTTCTGGTAACGCAAGTGAGAACGCGGCTGGTCGGCAAGTTTACAGAGAAGATATTGCATCATGGAGCATCTTAAACACGGAGATATTAAACATGGAGACATTTAATTATGGAGAATAACAGGAGAAATAATAATTGGAGAAGCATGGCGAGGAGAAAGTTGTATTAAATGCACATATAAGAAGGTACTTATCTTTAGTCTGGTCGGCGAGAGGATAGATGTCTCCAATCTGGTCGGCGAATTTGTCCCTTAGAGCGCCTTGGTAGGAGGCAGCGATGCTGGTGAGCCCAAAGGAAAGGGCCATTAAGGCGCCATCTCTACGGCTATGCTGATGGGGCCCGGGCAGATTGGATCTGATCGATAGATACTGTCAAGTCATCGTTGTCGATTTGCTTCCTCGGGTAGCGACAGAGCGACCGATGAGTTGCTAATGAAGATGACCTCGGAGGTGGTTCCGAGATCGGATCTGCTGGCGTAGGCGTAATCGACGCAGTAGAGTTCTACACCGGCTCGACGATCTCGCCATCACCGTTGTCATTGATGAACTAGGAGATTGAACCAACCGTGAAGGTTTGGCCGCGCTTGGGGAGAACAGAGAGCTCAGAAATCGTACCATCTTGTTCATCATGGAAACAGCATGCACACCCCTACCTGGCGCGCCAACTGTCGATAGAATATCGTCGGCAGTCCTCCGAGGAGTATCCTACGAAGGTAGATTGATCGGCAGAGATGCGCGTAATCCAGAATAAGAAGGCAACAGAGACACCAGAGTCAGACAGGTTTGGGCCATCAGTGCGACGTAATACCCTACTCCTGTGGTCTGTTAGTTTGTAATGGCTATCGTATGATATTGCGTGTGTTCAGATGCCTTAGGCTAAGCTTAAGGATCCGTATGGCGATGAATGAGGTGTCGTCTAGAGGACCCCTGCCTCTCCTTATATACTCTGGAGGAGTAGGGTTACAAGAAAAATATCCTATTTGGTATTATACAATAAATCATATCTTCATGTAGCCTTGCGATGCACGCCGACTAGTGTCGTGCGCCGCAAGCCTTGATCTTGTGGGTTGGGCCACATATGATGGTGCGGCCCATATCTTGTCCTATAGATACCGGGGGTCATATCCCCACAACTATTTTGTCAAATAATATAAAATAACTCATGACTCTAAATTGTATTACCCACATATGTTTTTAAGAAGCATTATCTAAAGTAGACCTAAATTTGTATTTAATTGTTGACGTCCTTTATTATGATCGATAATTTACATAACTCAATTTTCATCTCATTATTATAAAAACTAAATACCCCCACAAAGCTGCATCTAAATTATCAAATCTCCTATAACCAAAAAATTATTTAGATAACGAATAGAGCATATATATATTTCTATATTACCCCACCTCTATCAGTATTAATATAGTAAGATTTAATTAAAGTTAATATACATACCGTGCCAACATGCATAAGCAATAAAATACATTGTTATTTTTCATCATATAAAAAATATTTTCTTAACAACTCATATACTAATGATACTAACAAATTATGTAAAACCATATTAGTAACCATAACATATAATTTATTTGATTGTTATTTAGTTATAAACATGTATTTTAACTAAAATGTTTGACATGTGTATCTTGATGGTATAACCATAACTGCAAATATAATTCCTTGATAGGGAGATTCAATCATCTTGAGAAGTGTAGGAGACCACTGGTGGCTATATTTTCTGGCCTGTTAAAATACTTTAGAGTAAAAAATCGATAATTACAAGGTTTAACCCCTATCGAGATCTCACTTCAAGCTCTATGACTTATCTTAAGTGATATGGCGCAAGTTTCAAATAATGGCCTATGCTATTTTAGTACTTAAGAACATACTCTATGACCTAAACTTCTTATTTTAAAAAATGCAAAAAGGAGAGTTAATGGAAGATACAATAAGCTCAAGAGTTTCAAACTTAATTTGAGGAGAGAGAAAAAATCCCTAGCAGTCGATAATAATAAAATTTAAAAAATCAAAATTTTGGTTCATGACTTCATAAGATACATGATGCAACAAGAGCGACCATGATTAATGGTATGATTTCAAAGTGATTGCATGTTTGAAATATATAGAGGTGTCATGCAAAGGAAAACTATGAATATGGATGAAAATATATAGATTAGTTTCTTAAAAAGAATAGTAATTAATAAGTTTATGATAACTAAATATAGTCTACAGAGTATCTATCATGTCTATTATATTAGAAAATAAACAACGAGAAATAACATATGATTTAATATAAGTAGTTCTTTATTAGTCAGCCCCAATTCCAAATTATAAGATGTTTTGAGTTTTCTTATATAGGTTTTGATACATACTTACATGTACTGCCTTGATATATAGTAAAAATATTATATATAGAAAAGTCAAAACGTCTTATAATTTCGAATGAAGGGATTATTTTAAAATGTAGCCCATGTGAGAGCATGGGTTGATGGACTAGTGTTATAACCTAATTGGGACAAGTTTTTGAGCAATTAAGATCAGGCCGGGCAGGTGCGGTGGTGTGCCAGTATGTCATTATTGTACAAAGCAGATTCTGTATCTACAGGCACTATTTCAAAATTTACTGTAGGCACTGGATAGACTCTGCCTAGCAGCTAGTCAGTTCCTAGACGTCACCTAGGCCTCGCTAGGTGTTTAAACTTTCTGTAGACAAAGAAGAGTAATGCAATGCCAAATCTTAGGAAATTCAGTATACCAAAACACCATGTAAATATAACCAATCCCTTATACAACTAGGTTCCGAATTCCATGAACCATGATGAACAGGCATATAGACAATACTGACACAAGACAACTGAACAACAAGAGATAGCTCCAACATTTCATTATAAAAATGGTATTTAAATACATGGAAGTTTTCTGAGGAACAAAGTATATAGCATCCGCGCCTCAACATATATAACAGTTAAACTCAATCAATCACCTACGTAGGTGCATATCAGCATTATTTGAACTCTTGGGCCCCTTTGGATCAATCGTTCCCCGTGGGGCTTCGAGGCGATTGAGTGGAAATTAGTTCAATTCCTCCTCAATCCCCTTCGATCCCATGGGGAATGGGTGTACCCAAACGAGCCCTGAGGGATTGGAGCCGTCCACCTACAGTTCCACCAACAATAGGCACCTAAACCGTAGAACGCTTTTTGAGAGACATGAGTGTGCCTAAGATACTGACAAGTACACCAACTACGGAGAATATTGCGAAGATGGTTCTCTTGTTCTTGTAAAAAAACGCTTGGACCTTGATCTGCATCCGCCTATTGACCTTGTACTTCTCAATCTCCATCATGATGCGGACATAGCAGTTGGATCCACGTAGGGGCAGGCTCTGAAGTCTCGTGAAGAATGCAAGAGCGTCCTTGTTGATCAGCCCTGCTCCTCCTTGCAGGAGATGCTTTGTCCGCAGCTCCTGCACGTCCTCCTCCCTATGAACAAGCAGGGAGAGGAGGAGAAGGTACGAGCAGACGGCAGAGTCTTCGGGCTCAGCATCCTGGAAATTGGAGGTCGTGCACAGCTCGAGAGCCGCCATGTTGATGAGGAAGCTGGCACGTTCGTCGTCCAGCGACAGCGGCGCCATGGAGAGCTCGGCGAAGATCCCTCTCTTGTTGACGCCCATGTGGATGAGCTCCGTTGTTTCTTCATTGGCTTTGAGCTTGATGCCGTTTTCAGCTAGTTCAATGGCACTCACAGAAAATGATATCATCTTGGTTTTCACTTGAATGGGTGGCTTGGTGTTGCCTTTTCCCACAATGTAGAACCGAAGGAGGCCGAGGAGATGCGGTGGCTCGAAGCTATCATCCAACACAAGAGGCTTTTCGCCGAGAACCTGGCGGTCCTGCAGGTACTGTTTCCAGAACGCGACGAAGGCCTTCAAATCCACGGGCCTGAACCTCAAGACAGCCTCTACCACACACCAGGGGATCTGGTTCTGGAGCAGCACGATGTCATGGCGGATTGCCTTGCGGTTGAAGTCGAAGAAGCCACGCAACGATGGGTCCATGGTGCCACAACCATCCGTGGTACAAGCAAAGTACTGCACCAAGAAACAAGCATCATAGAACATCATATGAAGGAAGTCGTCTTCGCTGATGCCTGCCATCACATCCTTGTCGTATAGGCTGTGGGCATCATATGCGGCGGAGACAACGGCATCATACATGTCTTGTACTGAGTGGCCCGACTCCATGATGCAGTGGTAGGCAGCCACATACTTCGCTTTCTCCGCCTGCTTGAGCTGGTTCTGGCCATGGTGGTAAGGCCCAATGGCCACCAACCTCGGGACGGTAAAGAATTTGTTATCAAAATCTTTGATGCTTGGAGGGTACATATGGATCTTCATCTTCATCATGTCGATATCAACCTTGAACTCACGTGCTGCATCCTCAAACACATGAATCGGATTGATTGGGACCTTCACTCCCATATTTTGAAAATAAGCCTCAAACTCTTGTGCTGCTTTGTCAATGGAATCCTCATCTGTGGCTGCAGCATGCTCAACCATCTGCCGTCCGCTAGATGTTTGGAGCCAGCTTCTATCAAATGTCTCAGTGGACTCTGACTCCACAGGGTAGCCAGGAGCCCATCCTGCATATTCCATGGTCCAGTTCGACCGTTGAAGGTCCAAAGGTACCCACGCTGCAGCTGGCGGCTCCATGCTCCAATCAGTCAGATGAAGAGTACTGTACAAAAAGTTGGAACTATTAGATGAAAAAGATCTATACAAAGATCACAGTGAAACTACTAGCTACCATACGAGAAAAGGGCAATGTCATGTTAATTACAAACACAAAATAGTGGTGACTCAGAGACAACCAAGAGAGAAGGGAAAGAAAAACTTACAGCAGGGCATGATGAAGAGCCTAGTCGACTCCCCACTTATAGAGCTTCAATTCCTGTGTGGCAGATCAACTGTCGTCTATTGTTGTCATGTCAGATTATATAAGACATCGTTGATATATTCTTGCACCCATGCATATAGTTGGTGGTACTATTATATATCTAGTTCACATCCACGACAAGATCTACAGCTACGTGGTCATGTGTCAGATGGGGACCAGTGCAAGGTGGCAGGTGCATGCGTTTGTGTAGAGGAACATGAAAACCATAGCCGCTGTCATCTCCGCTATTGCTGCACTTGTCACTATCTTAGGGACGCTCAAGTCGGACAACGTGCATTGATCTACGATGATGCGAGATGCTCCGACTGTTAATTTCCTTGGTGATTAAATTTCGCTGCTTCTTAATCTTCTACTTCTTTAGTTAGTGTTCTAGAGGTGGCTGTATCAAGAAAATGCATCAAGAGACGTCTAAGGGGCAAGTAGGAAGCTATGAAATACCATCTACCCTTGGAAATAGGGGCCATTTCTATGGGTGATAGGAACATCAGCGGCCCTTGGAAATAGGGGCCATTTCTATGGGTCATATTAATATTATTAATTTAATTGTATGCGCTCTATGATATACAAATAATAGTACACGCATATAATCCTATGATATAACTAATTCAACCTGTTTAGTGTCAGGATGCAAGCCAAGTTTCAACTTAAGTGGAAAGCAATACTACTAGGATATGGACTCTTTTTAATAAAAGGGAATTTTTTAATACAAAATAAAGAGTACTAGAAAAATTACATAACTCAGTTTTCTTCTAATTATTAGAAAATTTAAATACCCCCCAAATTTGCATCGAAATTAGCAACATCTCCTATTACCAAAAAAAGTTTAGATAACAAATAGAGCGTGTATATGTTTCTACATTACCCCCACCTCTATCAATATTAGTACAGTAAGATTTGATTAAAGTAAACATATGTGTGGTGCCAACATGCATGGGCAATAAAATACATATGTTATGTTTCATCATATAAAAAATGTTTTCTTAATAACTCATATATTAAAGATTCTAACAAATTATTTAAAACTAGTAACCATAAAATACAATTTATATAGATTGTTGCTTTAGATATATGTTTATGTATTTAACTAAATATGTGATATGTCTATGTTGATAGTATAACCATAACTGCAAATATGATTCCTTTATAGTAAAATTCAATCATCTTGAGAAGTGTGGGTGACCACTAAAATACTTTAGAGTAAAAGTTGATCATTATAAAGTTTAAGTATTAAAATTCTCTTGAGGATATAGCATTGCTACCTCAATCTGAGATCTCACTTCAAGCTTTATGACTTATCTTAAGCGATATGGTGCATGTTTCAAAAAATGGCACATGCTATTGTAGTACTTAAGAACATACTCTACGATCTAAAATCCTTATTTTAAAAAGTGCAAAAAGAAGAGTTAATGAAATATACAATAAGCATAAGAGTTTCAACTTAATATGAGGAGTGAAAAAATCCATAGCAATCAATAAGAATAAAATTTGAAAAATCAAAATTTAAATTCATAACTTCATAAGGTAGATGAATGTGATGTAACAAGAGCCACCATGATTAATGGTAAGGTTTCTGAAGTAATTGCATATTGAAAATATATAGAGGTGCCATACAAAGAAAAATATGTAAAAACATATGGATTAGTTCCTTGAAGAAATAATAATTAATAATTTTATGATAACTATACACTACTACAGGATGGCCTTGTTGTCCCGGACGGTAACGGCCTTTAGTCCCGGTTACCGCGCCGGGACAACGATCCCGGGACTAAAGGTGGAACCTTCAGTACCGGGTCATCGAGTCGGGACTAAAGAGGAACCTTTAGTCCCGGTTGGTGTTACCAACCGGGACTAAAGGCCCTCCAGCCGAGCAAACATGGCCGCACCCTTTAGTCCCGGTTGGTAACCCCAACCGGGACTAAAGGTTCATTTTCTTTTTCTTTTTTTTGTTTAATTTGTTTTCAGTTCAGTTACACATATTTGTTTAATATATAATATGTTTTTATGTACGTATTCTACGCTGCTAATATAAATACATGCACACATATAATTACATCTAATTCTCATCTCGAGCATTATTATATTCGAATAAAGTATGAAACTATATATATTATAGATATATATGTATATATACAACACTTTCATAATCTTGTTCTCGAAAATAACGATATCAATAAACATTTAATTTACAACATTTATTCCTTAGGATCAAAGTAGAACTTGTCGTTGGGATTTAGCACTTTTTTTAGAAGAAATCCTGCTATTGACTCTTGAACTGCTTTCAAATGGTCTTTTTGCATGACCCTTTGTTTCAACCATTCAGTCTTGCATTCTTGAACCGACACTTCTCTAGAGTTGTTTGGTCGATAGACTTCTATGTTGGAACCATATTCATTAGCAACAACAAGATTTTACATTGGTTGCTTCTGTTGTCCGAGCTGTGGGACATCCTTCCCTGATGCTCTTTTCCTTTTCTTATGTGCATCATGTGACTTCACGAGGGAGCGGTCATAGTCTGATAGTGGCGGAGGCTTACGAACTTCAAGCATCTTTTTCTTGTGAGCTTCGACCTTCTGCCTCAGCTGATCTCGTGGTATGTAAAAGTACGACTTCTCCTTAAGCTTCGCTTGTCTCTGCTTTTGGATATCTATAAAAAAATCTTTCACTTTTTTGTCTTCTTCAGCTGCTATTTGCTCATCAGTCTTTTCAGGAAGTATTTCTTGAGAAATAACTCTTTTTTTTTGGGTCTTCTTTGCCGTCGGGACCTTAGACGTCTTTGTAGTGTGTCGCTGTGGAGGGGGTGGGGGCGGTGTTGGAGACCGGCGTGGAGGCGATGAGGCCAGTGTTGGAGTCCGGCGTGGAGGCGTTGGAGATCGTTGTGGAGGCGATGGGGCCGGTGTAGGAGTTGGAGATCGTTGTGGGTGCGATGGGGCCAGTGTAGGAGTTGGAGATCACCGTGGGGATGAAGTCGTCTCGCCCCCCACGACGCTGTGATGAGATGGGGAATGAATGATTGGGTTAGGCTAGAGGAGACCCTGCTACAAAAACAAGTTGTGGGTCAATTATTTTTGAAGCCAATATAAAATTAATGGAAAATAATATTTCATTCACTTTCATTCGTACCTAGGGTGAGGTAGGGGAAGCGGTGGCGCCCCAGGAATGATGATGAAGCGTTTGCGCCATGGAATAAATGTCTTCTCTGTTTCTCCTAGTGTCTTCTCCCCATCACTGCCTTCAATGTCAAGAGGAATATTGCTGTAACCTTTGAGCACTCTATCGACCGAGACGCTAGCATATCCACGTTGAATAACTGACCCATGGATTCTTGGTGTCTTCGTTCGGTCCATTAGAGATACAACCCAAACAACCACCATGATTGATGCATTATTACCATCTGGAATGTGCAGCTCACATGTTGTTAGAGGCTCGGTAATGTCATCAACCGGGAAGCGCAACCCAGCGTCACCTTGAATAACTGGCAGCTCCATGGAAGCACAACTGCTTTTCATCTGACCAACGGGGCTAATGGTGACTCCCGGCATTGATTGCGATTGCATTTGACTCATTGCTAGTTGCACTTGCCTCTTGATCTCCTCCTGCATTCTTGCCTCAAGAGATTTTTCTCGTTCACGTGACTCAAGCAATGCTTATCGTGACTCATTAACAAATTGCTCCAATACACGGATTCGGTCTGCCTCCTCATCCTTCTTTTTCTGGCGGCTTCTGTAGGTATCCTTGTCTGCCGGGAATGCTTGTAGCCACGGAACCACCCCATAGCCTCTTGTTCGACCACCGTGTTTGGGATTCTCTAGGGCATATGTCAATTCATCCTTCTCTCTGTTGGGCTTTAAAACACCACTATCAGCTTCTTCCCTAGCACGAGCTAGTCTCTGTGTTGCTCTCTCAATTTTTTTGGCCAAAAATTAGCTTGCCAGTGTCTGGGTCTAGGCTTCCCCCATGAGCGTAGAACCAATTCTTCATGCGTTGAGGCCAGTTCTTCTCTATTGTTTTAGGTATGATTCCCTTGGCAGTAATCTCTGCTTCTAGGTTCTTCCACTTGGGAATAGCACTCCTATAACCACCTGATCCCATGCGATGATGGTATTGCTTCTATCGGGCATTCTGCTGATTCCTCATCATACGTTCCTCACTCTCTTGAGATGTCTTGTATTCTACGAAGTCATCCCAATGGGACTCCAACTTGACAAACGCCTTAGCATTGAAATTCGGCGTACCATTCTTCAAGATAAACTTTTTATACAATGTCTTCTTCCAACTCTGGAACAATGTTGCCATCTTCTTCATTGTCCAATCCCTCACTAGCTCCTTCAAAGCATCATCTGCTTATAATGTGAAATGCTGAGTGATATCTCTCCAAGCTAGGTTCTTGTCACGATCAGATACAAAACTAACATTAGGAGCGGATATCTTTTGCTTCCATTCATGAGCAGTAACTGGGATCCTATCTCTTATAATGACCCCACATTGATTGACATATGTCTGAGCATGTGGTCCCAATGGTTTGCCGGTGTCGGTGTCGAATTCTGATATTATGAAACGGCCCTCTAATGGCTTTTTTGGCCCTCGGACTTTCCTACTCTTGTCGGTGGTTGATGTAGATCCAGAGACCGGCTACATGAGTAGAAATACAACGATTAACAACAAATATACGTACGCATGCATCTATAAGAGATGATAGATAATCGAATATACCTCGCCAGTATTTTCTTGCGCGACAATTTGTTGATCTTCAACCACC